TTTGTCTATTTGTCTGGGATTTTGAGACATCTGGAGGTCTGGGCAGCCAGCTAATGAGCATGCACTGATGAACTCAGCAGTGCACAGTGAGTCGAGCCCATCCACAGCACTGTCAGACCTCTGTGTGTGCTCTGAGGCCACATCCCATGTGTTCAAAGTAACACAGAGGCCCCCATGGCATTCTTGATCAGTCATGGAGGAGACCCCAGACAGTGGGGAGCCAGAGAGTGTTCACTCACAGAGCTCTATCTCTGTGGCACCTGTGGGTGTGCATACATGTAAAATACAATTTCTGCTCTAGAAGTCCCTTACAAAAATATGATGTTCCTATCATGGAACTCAGCTAGCCCTCCTCCTTACTTTAGAATGGTGCGTGCCCAGTAGTAGAAAAATGCTGTGCTAAAACCATTCTGTATTTCCATGTGTAATGCCACCTCCTTTACTAGCATTTCTCATTGCTGACTCTCAGCTTCTATGTCTCGTATCTGACAGTGATCAATATTATTTTCCTTTAATTAGCCAGTTTTTCATTAATGATATAATACCAACCAAAGAAGAAGAGAAAGCAGAGAGTATTACAGTGATAAAACTTTTTCTCCAGAAGGAAGAAGCATTGCCCGGAATGCATCGAGAAGTATAATGAGAAGTGATGGAGGAAAATAAGGGAAGGAAGGTTTCCTCACAGGGAGGTTTTAAGTAGACTCTGGCAATTATCTCCTAAAGGAAGTAGTGGAAGTCTGGTCACTTAAATCAATTAAAACTAACCAGAGCATCATAGTCCATGGGACTCTGTAAGGAGGAAAGCAGTGTCAGACAGAACTAAAATAGCTTTTGCATGCTTATTTTCTGCAGGGCTGCTGTCTGTATTTTGCTGGACACTTCAATATGGATGATGCTGATTAACAACTGTTTTGACAGTGATTATTAACATTGCATTATTTCCAGCCCATTCCTCAGCATTGTAAGCTCATGAGAACATGGAGATACAAAACACATCCCCAGGCTTGGCTAGCTCAATCTGAAAGACAAGTGGCAGATAAGGGGCTGGAGAACTTACTTTCTGTCATCTTAGCAGTGATCAGGGTTGTTATCACCTCAGTGCTGAATTGGCATAGACCTGCACACCACATGCTGAGGGTGGTGTACCTGTGGCAGCACAGCAGAGGCAGGAGCTGCACATAGACCCCCAGTCCTTGATCTCTTGGATTGCTGTAGACAACTGTCAGGGACAGGAGCAAGACAAAATAAAGTGATTCATCCTTAGACTTGGTGGGGTGTTTGGCATGTTTTAAGTACACAAGAGAAGTCGTCTCCTGGCCTGCCTTGAAAGATAAGGGAAAGCAAGCCTCCAAGAAGCTGACATCTTTGCTTTGCTTTGCTTTGCTTTCCTTGTCTGTGTGGACATTGTTGTTTTGTATGTACATTTTGCCTTTTCTCTGCTTGGTTTTCTTGTAGCCAGTCAATTCCATTTAAACAACAGAACTGGGTAGAAATTGGCATAGGGCAAATAAATGATCAGAGGGAAGCAGGACTTGGCATATTAGCTTGGACAAGATGCCCAGTAGGGGTTCTCACAAATTGACCTGCCTACTTAAACATTAATTTACATGTAAAATAAGGTTTAAAAGCAAACAAATCTTAGACATATGGCATCTTAGTTACAGCAGGGGGAAAAAGACAGAGATTGTTGCTGGCATGTGTTTTACCCATCCAGCAAAGGTCTCTCTCATGCATAAATAGAGACTGTTTTATCAGATAAATTATCTGTTTCTTTCTGCAAACACAGATCATTGTTGTTTCACTGTTTTCACTGGGATGGATCAGTCAGGTCAAATCATTTTAAAAGATGGTTCTTACCTCTTTCTACAGAAATGTGTGTGTGAGGGTAATACACGCAGCTTCAAAGCTTTTGCTTTCCCAGTATGAGGTGCTCATAGCCACACTCCAGCACCTCAGTTCCAGCCTTCGTGCTAGAATGCATCAGGTGCAGGCAGTCCCAAAGCTGGTGGGGCTGAGGCAGGGGACCTGCCATAGGAGCCAAATCAATATTTAGACAGCTTCAGGCACCAGAGATTGCACTGGCTTTCACACTTGGCAGAAAGCTTTGCATCCATTTGTTACCAAATGTATTGTTTGTGCAGTTTTAAGCATTGGTATTTGAGAGTTTTCTCCCTGAGGGCACTGATAAGCACCAGCTGCTTGAAAAGCAACTTTACCCCTCTGGATCTGAAGATTGTGAGAGTGAGGAAAGTTGTGTCACTGGGTAAGATCTTGTAAGGAAGTCAAGGCACATGTTTTCAGCATTTTCATCATGTTTCACTTCAGGCTTCTGCCTGGCATCACGGAGAGTCCACAATGCATTATCAGGCTCTGCTTCCAATACATCCAGCTCAGAACAGCTGTAACAGCTGTCTTGCTCTTTGTTACCACAGTGGTTTATTAGGAACAAAAACCTGACTTAGCGTGGGAGACAACCCTGCCGTGGGGTGCTATGAGTCAGCCCAGGGCTCTGCAGTGTGCCTGCACTGGGGCTGCAGACAGGCAGGTGAAAGAAACCCTGGCCCGGTACAGAAAACTATTTTATTTTGCTTTCCAGTCATTCCACCTAGTGGCCAAGTGACACAACTGCCCGGAGAGCTGGGTTTGTGCTCCAGAGTCCCTCTTCATCAAAAGGGACCCAAAACCCGCAGGTGGTATTTATGGCTGCTCCTACAGACCTACATCACAAGATGTGTAGGAATATACAAGCCCCCACACTGAAGATCTTATCAAAGAGAAACATCAGCCTGCGTGTAGCTCATTAAGTTCTCGAGCAATTTTGTTAATCATGCTGCATAGATAAAATGCAGATAGGCCTTTAGTGAGCTGATAATCTAACAAATAGGCAGAAAGTGTAACACTGATCAAGCAGAGACCAGTTTTATAGCCAGCTGTAAATCTAGGCAATTCTCTACCAGAAGTGTATCGTAAAACAGGAATGTGCAAATGTGTAATATGTGCCTGAAAATGCAGTGTTTCTCAGAAGAGCAGATATAGCAGTAGTATTATGTATGGAAAAGCTATTGGCAGCAGTTTTAGAGGTTTTTTTAAATATTTTTCTCTCCATCAGAGTTTGCACCCCTTGTCCTGTCTTCATAATCCAGCATCACAAGTGCAGTTCTATGAATAACAAAGGCTTGTTTCTGGAAGTCAGGATTTTCTATAGAAATCTGTGAGCTCTGCTACTGGTCCTGAGGATGTGAAGGGAGTTTATAGGCTTTTCATTGGGATGAGCCAAATTATTCAGTCAGATTTATGCCCATCATGAATAATCACAAATTCATGTTCTGATGTCTCACAAACCTCTTGAGCAGGTTCTTGCTTAGTGGCATTAGTTGAATTGGAAGGACAGGGAAAAACAGCTCACCTGCAGTGTATTCCATGCCTCCTGTGGGTGAGGTATCCTTCTGAGGAGCTGGGAAATGCATTTTTGAATCTCCACAACCTGGGGAAGGAACCTGGTATCCTGTTTTCTGTGTCCCTCATCTGGAAAGGGGGCTGTTTTACAAAAAAAAGGAAGAGCAGTCCTTCCTCTTCTGGTTTGTTTTAAAATAAGAAACTGAGCTGGGAACACCTGCCAGAGATACCTGCAGCCAGAAGGAGGTTGCAGGTTCTGGGTCCCAACTTCACGTAGGCTTGCAGGTATTTGCTCTGAATCCCATCTAGATGCCTTTCCTTGGTATGCAAAGCACAGGGAGCTCAGATTTGAGAATACCACATGCAAGCAAGGCAAGAAAGTGTCTTGGTGAACTGAGACTGAAGTGACTTGCCAGGGTCATGTAGAAGGTGGTTGGTGCAATGGGAAATCAAGTTGTGGTCCCTCAAATCTCAACATTGTGGCCAAACCACTGAATCTCCTTCTTGTGGAGAAACCTTTATGGTGAGTCCTGGTTTTGAAGCAGCCTTTGGCTGCTTCGTGAAGAATTAACATTTTTCCAGTATCTTTGTTTTCTGCCCGTTTGGGGGTGGGAAATGTAACAGAAGTTAGCGTCAGTGCATTTTTGGTCAAAAATAGACAATAGCTGTAGTTTACCATGTGGCTTAGCAAATTATTTGGTAGTTTTGTTTGATGATACCACTGTAAAATATGGGAGTTTGGGGGGAGTGGAGAAAGTGTTTACTTTTTAATATATGATATGTGAGTGTAAATATCTAGATGGTATGATAAGAAAAAAGGATGAGTAGTGGTGCAAAACTCAGACCAGGAACACTTGATTGGAGATCAACCAGTTGTTACCCTTTCAACAAAGAAAATGGTGGGAATCAGAGCCATTTGTATCCCTTGAACTATGAATATGGATTTCTTTCTTATAGCTGTACCTTAGACTCACCAAATCAGGAGCAGTATAAGGAGAATAATCTCCATGGGATGGAGAAAAGTGCTATGCAGTCAGTACTTACCTATTATTTATTCAGCAATGGCTAGCAAAAAATTGAGAAGAAAAAAAGAAACCAGTTTGCTCTTGAAGGAGGCTGAAAGATACTTTCTGTTTAATTTTTCTATGGTAGTAAACTTTTCCTTCCCAAAACATTTTTTGTATTTAAGGGTTATCTTAAACTTGAAACCACTCTTCACCAGTGTTTCCATGGAGGCAAAAGAGTTAAATTTGAATCAATACTTTCAGGGTGGTGGGCTACATCATATTTAGATTAAGATCCATCCAAGAATTAGCAGCATCCACACCAGCCTGGTTTTTTCAGTCTTTTATTACAATAGAGGCCTAGTCCATTGGTGTTCAAGATATTTGGGAAAACCAACGCTTGGCTCAACCTGTACAATGACATACAGGAACAACATAAAGGCAGTCGTGCTAGTTATGGGACAAAGCTTCGTTGCTGGTTTGATAGATGAGTAACTGGTACTGAGCAGTGTTTGTTTCTGTTGGGTTACGTGATGAAGGACTTGAGATGATAGCAAGAGCTGATGGTAATGCTGGCAATTTCCCTCTCTCTTTTTGCAGGTCACTGTCAGGGGATTTGGTCCATTGTTACAGTTTGCCTACACTGCTAAGCTGTTACTCAGCAGAGAAAACATCCAGGAGGTCATCCACTGCGCTGAATTCCTGCGCATGCACAACCTGGAGGACTCCTGCTTCAGTTTCCTACAGACGCAGCTGCTGAACAACGAAGATGGCCTGTTCCTGTGCAAAAAAGATACCACCTGTCAGCGCATGCATGATGAGGAGAACTCGGATGGAGACGAGGAGGAGACGATGGAATCGGAGACGTCAAAAATATCTTGCCCAAGAGAGAGGATGCACCAAGAGCCCTTCAATTTTGAAACCACTGTTGCTGGCACAGACAAAGGTGAAGGGATGCTGCCTGACTCTGACATGCTGAGAGATAGCAAGGACAATTTGGACAAAGATGCAGTAACACGGTACCCCAGATACAAGAAATACCAGCTTGCTTGTACCAAGAATGTCTACAACACATCACACATCAGTACCTCAGGTTTTGCAAGCACATTCAGTGAAGAGAGCTCTGGAAATGGCCTCAAATCAGGACTTGCTATGGGGCAGATAAAAAGTGAGCCTCAGAATGAAGAGAACGATGAAGAAAGCATCACACTTTGCTTGTCTGGAGACGAACCTGACATCAGGGATAAAGAAGGGGATGTTGAAATGGACAGGAAACAGCCAAGCCCTACTTGTGTCGACAGGCCAAAAAGTGGGTCCTCTCCTTGCTTGCGGTCTTTCTTCAACAGAACAAAAAGCATAGATTTAGTTGGCTTCCCCAGCACTTCCCAACAGCACTTTGGCAGGAGTCCAGCATGCCCTTTTGAAAAAGGGACAACTCAGGGTGACCACAAAACTGATTACGTCCCTTTCACAGGGAACTATGGACAGTCCCATGCCGTGCAGAAAGATGCTTCCAGCTTCACAGGGGGATCGCCACTCAGGGGGCCCGGCTTTGAAACTCTCTGTAAGCAAGAAGGGGAACTGGACAGGAGGAGTGTTATATTCTCTTCAAACACTTGTGACCAAGTAAACACTTCGGTGCATTCATATTCTGGTGTGAGCAGCTTGGACAAAGACCTCACTGAGACTGTGCCAAAGGGCCTGTGGGCTGGCAGTAGCCAGTCTCTCCCCAGCTCTCAGACCTATTCGCACAGTGGACTGACAGCTGATCACTTGCCGGGAAGGATGCGGCCAAACACCAGCTGTCCGGTGCCAATTAAAGTTTGCCCTCGCTCTCCTCCTTTGGAAACCAGAACCAGGACCTCCAGCTCGTGCTCTTCCTACTCGTACGCAGAGGATGGCAGCGGTGGCTCTCCCTGCAGCCTGCGTCTTTGCGAGCTCTCCTCTTCCCCTTGCTCCCAAGGCCCCCGATTCCTGGCACCCGAGCACCAGGAGCCCGGCGTGGTGGGGGATGGATTGTACAACCCAGCCCGAGCCCAGATTAAATGTGAGCCATCCTATGGAACAAACTCCAGCGATGAGTCTGGGTCATTCTCAGAAGCAGACAGTGAATCATGTCCTGTGCAAGACAGAGGGCATGAGGTAGGGATTTAAGATAAGTACATATATCGCAGTCATTGTGGCCCAATTAATTGCTCCTTGATTCTCTTGAATGACTTGGCATTTCCCCAGCACTTTCTTTGTTTATAGAGGCAAAGAGTAACTTTGGTTTATTCCCTCCTCAGCTGAGCGTGTGTGGTTGACTTCACATAAACAGGTCAGGCTGACCTCCGAGGTGTTTGGTGCTTACCACACTTTGAGTATGGGGCAATAGCAAACTGCAGAATGATGAGAGCACATTGATGTGCTCAGAAGTCTGCTAGCAGTGTCCTGTCCTCCTCCCTCCCACACCCACAGCACAAAGCACCATTCCTCATCCTTGGTTTGCTGAGGTGGTTCCCATGTGCTTCAGGAACCTCAAGCTGACACTGAGGGTCGGGCAGCCCGCACCAAGAGCTGTGTATTGCTAACAGCTCAAGTAGAGGAGGCAGACGGAGTGGGAGGAGAAAGAAGAGTGAATTACTTAAACAGTTGCATATCTGGCCACCCTCTGTTGTAGGAGTGGTGTTCAAGTCGTCTTCCCTCTGTATGTGTGTGTGTGTGTCTCCCACATGCAGGTAATGGGTTTTGCATCCGTTAAGTGACAACTGAGATGATGTTTCCTGCTCGTGACCCCACTTTGATGGTGAGCTCTGGCAGCCATTGCATAAATGGTTGCAAAGAGAAGTTAACCTTTAATTTCCAGGACTGTTAGGACAAAAGAAGAGGGACAGACTTCTGTGCAGCTCTCCCATGAGAGGGAGGAGAAGGAGGGCCCTCTTTAAAACTAGAACTGGGCCAGCTGGAGATGCTGCAGTGACAACTAGCTAACTGCAATGGAATTAACTGTGTAAAGTCACTAGTTTCAGGGAACACTTAAATCATGGAGACGCATGGTGGAGCCCAAAAACTGGAAAAATGACTGGGATGTTTTCATAGGATTTCATTAGGATCTGCATGACCCAGAGAGCATCTGGGTAAAATCATATCAGACTCCTCCAGTAATGCTGAAGTGCTCCACTGAGAGCTTGTGCTTTAGTGTGGGCAGCAGTGAGTGCAAGTTTGGGATGTTCACATGCTCTGAGCACCCAGGACAGAGCCATGTGGGCTTAGTGTGGGCTAGAGGTAAAAGGAGTGAACTTTCTTTTATCCCTCAATCTTTATTCCAGCTACATCCCAGGCTCTGGAAGATACCTCTCAGACAGATCATAGAATCTTAGGAGTTAGAAGGGACCTTGAAAGATCATCTAGTCCAACCCCCCTGCCAGAGCAGGATCACCCAGAGCACATCACACAGGAATGTGTCCAGGCAGGTTCTGAATGTTTCCAGAGAAGGAGACTCCACAACCTCTCTGGGCAGCCTGTTCCACTGCTCTGTCACTCTCACAGGAAAGAAGTGTTTTCTGATATTCACATGGAACCTCCTATGCTCCAGTTTGCACCCATTGCCCCTTGTCCTATTACTGGACATCACTGAAAAAAGCCTGGCTCTGACCTCCTGACACTCACCCTTAACACATTTGTAAACATTGATGAGGTTACCCTTCAGTCTCCTCTTCTCCAAGGTAAAGAGACCCAGCTCCCTCAGCCTTTCATCATAAGGGAGATGTTCCACTCCCTTCATCATCCTTGTGGCTCTGTGCTGGACTCTTTCAAGCAGTTCCCTGTCCTTCTTGAACTGAGGGTGGACACGATATTCCAGATGCAGCCTCACCAATGCAGAATAGAGGGGGAGGAGAACCTCCCTTGACCTACTAACTGCACCCTTTCTAATGCACCCCAGGAGGCCATTGGCCTTCTTGGCCACAAGGGCACATTGCTGGCTCATGGTCATCCTCCTGTCCACCAGGACCCCCAGGTCCCTTTCACCTACACTGCTCTCCAGCGGATGTGAGTGTTCCTTTATGCTTAGTGGCATTAGTTGAATTGGAAGGACAGGGAAAAACAGCTCACCTGCAGTGTATTCCATGCCTCCTGTGGGTGAGGTATCCTGAGGAGCTGGGAAATGCATTTTTGAATCTCCACAACCTGGGGAAGGAACCTGGTATCCTGTTTTCTGTGTCCCTCATCTGGAAAGGGGGCTGTTTTACAAAAAAAGGAAGAGCAGTCCTTCCTCTTCTGGTTTGTTTTAAAATAAGAAACTGAGCTGGGAACACCTGCCAGAGATACCTGCAGCCAGAAGGAGGTTGCAGGTTCTGGGTCCCAACTTCACGTAGGCTTGCAGGTATTTGCTCTGAATCCCATCTAGATGCCTTTCCTTGGTATGCAAAGCACAGGGAGCTCAGATTTGAGAATACCACATGCAAGCAAGGCAAGAAAGTGTCTTGGTGAACTGAGACTGAAGTGACTTGCCAGGGTCATGTAGAAGGTGGTTGGTGCAATGGGAAATCAAGTTGTGGTCCCTCAAATCTCAACATTGTGGCCAAACCACTGAATCTCCTTCTTGTGGAGAAACCTTTATGGTGAGTCCTGGTTTTGAAGCAGCCTTTGGCTGCTTCGTGAAGAATTAACATTTTTCCAGTATCTTTGTTTTCTGCCCGTTTGGGGGTGGGAAATGTAACAGAAGTTAGCGTCAGTGCATTTTTGGTCAAAAATAGACAATAGCTGTAGTTTACCATGTGGCTTAGCAAATTATTTGGTAGTTTTGTTTGATGATACCACTGTAAAATATGGGAGTTTGGGGGGAGTGGAGAAAGTGTTTACTTTTTAATATATGATATGTGAGTGTAAATATCTAGATGGTATGATAAGAAAAAAGGATGAGTAGTGGTGCAAAACTCAGACCAGGAACACTTGATTGGAGATCAACCAGTTGTTACCCTTTCAACAAAGAAAATGGTGGGAATCAGAGCCATTTGTATCCCTTGAACTATGAATATGGATTTCTTTCTTATAGCTGTACCTTAGACTCACCAAATCAGGAGCAGTATAAGGAGAATAATCTCCATGGGATGGAGAAAAGTGCTATGCAGTCAGTACTTACCTATTATTTATTCAGCAATGGCTAGCAAAAAATTGAGAAGAAAAAAAGAAACCAGTTTGCTCTTGAAGGAGGCTGAAAGATACTTTCTGTTTAATTTTTCTATGGTAGTAAACTTTTCCTTCCCAAAACATTTTTTGTATTTAAGGGTTATCTTAAACTTGAAACCACTCTTCACCAGTGTTTCCATGGAGGCAAAAGAGTTAAATTTGAATCAATACTTTCAGGGTGGTGGGCTACATCATATTTAGATTAAGATCCATCCAAGAATTAGCAGCATCCACACCAGCCTGGTTTTTTCAGTCTTTTATTACAATAGAGGCCTAGTCCATTGGTGTTCAAGATATTTGGGAAAACCAACGCTTGGCTCAACCTGTACAATGACATACAGGAACAACATAAAGGCAGTCGTGCTAGTTATGGGACAAAGCTTCGTTGCTGGTTTGATAGATGAGTAACTGGTACTGAGCAGTGTTTGTTTCTGTTGGGTTACGTGATGAAGGACTTGAGATGATAGCAAGAGCTGATGGTAATGCTGGCAATTTCCCTCTCTCTTTTTGCAGGTCACTGTCAGGGGATTTGGTCCATTGTTACAGTTTGCCTACACTGCTAAGCTGTTACTCAGCAGAGAAAACATCCAGGAGGTCATCCACTGCGCTGAATTCCTGCGCATGCACAACCTGGAGGACTCCTGCTTCAGTTTCCTACAGACGCAGCTGCTGAACAACGAAGATGGCCTGTTCCTGTGCAAAAAAGATACCACCTGTCAGCGCATGCATGATGAGGAGAACTCGGATGGAGACGAGGAGGAGACGATGGAATCGGAGACGTCAAAAATATCTTGCCCAAGAGAGAGGATGCACCAAGAGCCCTTCAATTTTGAAACCACTGTTGCTGGCACAGACAAAGGTGAAGGGATGCTGCCTGACTCTGACATGCTGAGAGATAGCAAGGACAATTTGGACAAAGATGCAGTAACACGGTACCCCAGATACAAGAAATACCAGCTTGCTTGTACCAAGAATGTCTACAACACATCACACATCAGTACCTCAGGTTTTGCAAGCACATTCAGTGAAGAGAGCTCTGGAAATGGCCTCAAATCAGGACTTGCTATGGGGCAGATAAAAAGTGAGCCTCAGAATGAAGAGAACGATGAAGAAAGCATCACACTTTGCTTGTCTGGAGACGAACCTGACATCAGGGATAAAGAAGGGGATGTTGAAATGGACAGGAAACAGCCAAGCCCTACTTGTGTCGACAGGCCAAAAAGTGGGTCCTCTCCTTGCTTGCGGTCTTTCTTCAACAGAACAAAAAGCATAGATTTAGTTGGCTTCCCCAGCACTTCCCAACAGCACTTTGGCAGGAGTCCAGCATGCCCTTTTGAAAAAGGGACAACTCAGGGTGACCACAAAACTGATTACGTCCCTTTCACAGGGAACTATGGACAGTCCCATGCCGTGCAGAAAGATGCTTCCAGCTTCACAGGGGGATCGCCACTCAGGGGGCCCGGCTTTGAAACTCTCTGTAAGCAAGAAGGGGAACTGGACAGGAGGAGTGTTATATTCTCTTCAAACACTTGTGACCAAGTAAACACTTCGGTGCATTCATATTCTGGTGTGAGCAGCTTGGACAAAGACCTCACTGAGACTGTGCCAAAGGGCCTGTGGGCTGGCAGTAGCCAGTCTCTCCCCAGCTCTCAGACCTATTCGCACAGTGGACTGACAGCTGATCACTTGCCGGGAAGGATGCGGCCAAACACCAGCTGTCCGGTGCCAATTAAAGTTTGCCCTCGCTCTCCTCCTTTGGAAACCAGAACCAGGACCTCCAGCTCGTGCTCTTCCTACTCGTACGCAGAGGATGGCAGCGGTGGCTCTCCCTGCAGCCTGCGTCTTTGCGAGCTCTCCTCTTCCCCTTGCTCCCAAGGCCCCCGATTCCTGGCACCCGAGCACCAGGAGCCCGGCGTGGTGGGGGATGGATTGTACAACCCAGCCCGAGCCCAGATTAAATGTGAGCCATCCTATGGAACAAACTCCAGCGATGAGTCTGGGTCATTCTCAGAAGCAGACAGTGAATCATGTCCTGTGCAAGACAGAGGGCATGAGGTAGGGATTTAAGATAAGTACATATATCGCAGTCATTGTGGCCCAATTAATTGCTCCTTGATTCTCTTGAATGACTTGGCATTTCCCCAGCACTTTCTTTGTTTATAGAGGCAAAGAGTAACTTTGGTTTATTCCCTCCTCAGCTGAGCGTGTGTGGTTGACTTCACATAAACAGGTCAGGCTGACCTCCGAGGTGTTTGGTGCTTACCACACTTTGAGTATGGGGCAATAGCAAACTGCAGAATGATGAGAGCACATTGATGTGCTCAGAAGTCTGCTAGCAGTGTCCTGTCCTCCTCCCTCCCACACCCACAGCACAAAGCACCATTCCTCATCCTTGGTTTGCTGAGGTGGTTCCCATGTGCTTCAGGAACCTCAAGCTGACACTGAGGGTCGGGCAGCCCGCACCAAGAGCTGTGTATTGCTAACAGCTCAAGTAGAGGAGGCAGACGGAGTGGGAGGAGAAAGAAGAGTGAATTACTTAAACAGTTGCATATCTGGCCACCCTCTGTTGTAGGAGTGGTGTTCAAGTCGTCTTCCCTCTGTATGTGTGTGTGTGTGTCTCCCACATGCAGGTAATGGGTTTTGCATCCGTTAAGTGACAACTGAGATGATGTTTCCTGCTCGTGACCCCACTTTGATGGTGAGCTCTGGCAGCCATTGCATAAATGGTTGCAAAGAGAAGTTAACCTTTAATTTCCAGGACTGTTAGGACAAAAGAAGAGGGACAGACTTCTGTGCAGCTCTCCCATGAGAGGGAGGAGAAGGAGGGCCCTCTTTAAAACTAGAACTGGGCCAGCTGGAGATGCTGCAGTGACAACTAGCTAACTGCAATGGAATTAACTGTGTAAAGTCACTAGTTTCAGGGAACACTTAAATCATGGAGACGCATGGTGGAGCCCAAAAACTGGAAAAATGACTGGGATGTTTTCATAGGATTTCATTAGGATCTGCATGACCCAGAGAGCATCTGGGTAAAATCATATCAGACTCCTCCAGTAATGCTGAAGTGCTCCACTGAGAGCTTGTGCTTTAGTGTGGGCAGCAGTGAGTGCAAGTTTGGGATGTTCACATGCTCTGAGCACCCAGGACAGAGCCATGTGGGCTTAGTGTGGGCTAGAGGTAAAAGGAGTGAACTTTCTTTTATCCCTCAATCTTTATTCCAGCTACATCCCAGGCTCTGGAAGATACCTCTCAGACAGATCATAGAATCTTAGGAGTTAGAAGGGACCTTGAAAGATCATCTAGTCCAACCCCCCTGCCAGAGCAGGATCACCCAGAGCACATCACACAGGAATGTGTCCAGGCAGGTTCTGAATGTTTCCAGAGAAGGAGACTCCACAACCTCTCTGGGCAGCCTGTTCCACTGCTCTGTCACTCTCACAGGAAAGAAGTGTTTTCTGATATTCACATGGAACCTCCTATGCTCCAGTTTGCACCCATTGCCCCTTGTCCTATTACTGGACATCACTGAAAAAAGCCTGGCTCTGACCTCCTGACACTCACCCTTAACACATTTGTAAACATTGATGAGGTTACCCTTCAGTCTCCTCTTCTCCAAGGTAAAGAGACCCAGCTCCCTCAGCCTTTCATCATAAGGGAGATGTTCCACTCCCTTCATCATCCTTGTGGCTCTGTGCTGGACTCTTTCAAGCAGTTCCCTGTCCTTCTTGAACTGAGGGTGGACACGATATTCCAGATGCAGCCTCACCAATGCAGAATAGAGGGGGAGGAGAACCTCCCTTGACCTACTAACTGCACCCTTTCTAATGCACCCCAGGAGGCCATTGGCCTTCTTGGCCACAAGGGCACATTGCTGGCTCATGGTCATCCTCCTGTCCACCAGGACCCCCAGGTCCCTTTCACCTACACTGCTCTCCAGCGGATGTGAGTGTTCCTTTACTTGGTTGCTTAGCTTTAAGAAAAGGCTGAAGAGCCTGGGTAACCTCTGATGTCATGTCCTGTACAGCCCTGTCGTGCTGTACCAGTGGTTCTTGTTTGTCCCTGAGTCCTGAGCTGGGGACAGTGCAGAAGGGTGAGGAGTCTCCTTGGGAGGTTGCCAGCGATACTGTGCATAGGACCTATTTCAGAAAGCCCTGCAGCAAAACTGCTCTGCTTGGCCATGCCAAGGTTACTTTGTGGAGCGTTGCCTTTGCAAGGGAGCAGGGAGTGGGACCGAGGGGAGCATCTGATCTCCACCCACATGTACTGCTTGATCAGCAAGGGCTAATGCACAGCGTGAGGCAGTGAAGAGGGCAACAGATTAGCCTTTTGGGGCTTGATGACTAATTAGCTGTCATAATTGGCTAATTGTGTGGAGATGCTGCAGCAGGAGCTAGCCTAGAAGAGTCAGATGAGAAGGTTATAGAGGACTGGTGGTGGTTGCCTGAAAAAAGCGTGTGAATGTGTGCAGGAGGGTGTGGATGAGAGGAGGGACATTCACAAGAGGAGTGAGTGGGTGGACTACAGGGGGCTGTCTTGGTGTGCACTGGCAGGCAGACATGTCTGGCTCTGGGGCAGAGAGCTGCGAGGGGTTTGCTTCACTCCTGCTTTTGCTGCTGTTTTGTCCTGGGAAGATTTTCTGCACTGTGCTGAGCAAGTTTTCTCCCTGGAACTGCTGACAAAGCTCTTTTTCTTTTTTTTTTTTTTTTTCAATGCATGTTCATTAAGACTGCCAGGCATTATAGATGTGGGAAGGAAATAAATGCTACATGAGGTTGCACTGCACTATCTTGAGCAAGCCAAGGGTAAACACATCACACCAGTGCTTCAGTACAGATTTTTTCTGAAAAATGAATTTGTAAAGGTTTTTGCCAGTACAAGAAAGGTCACTGTGGCCTCATTATACAATGTTGTATTTGTACAGCAGACTTGGGGTGTGTATCCTGCAACCCTGCAAGATCCACTGCTGTGGAAACCAGGCAGTAGAAAATGCCTAATGGCAGCAGGAAGTTTTTGTGTAAGTCACTTACAGCAGTTTAGCTGCTTTAAAAATCACAGAATCACCTTGGTTGGAAGAGACCTTCAACATCAACCCTTAACCTAACACTGACAAGTCCTTAACTGAACTATATCCTTTATGGTCCATATGACTCTTAAATATATGACTCTTACCTCCAGGAATGGTCACTCCACCACTGCCCTAGGCAGCCTGTTCCAGTGGCTGATAATCCTTTTTCTGAAGAAATTCACTGACCATCTCCTTCTGGATTGTGGGGGTGGATTCTGCTCCCAGTTCCTGTCTCCCAGTACAACTGATTGTATTACTAACGACTGAGGAAAAGAAGGCATTAAGCACCTCAGCCTTTTCCTCATCCTTCCTTAACGTATTTCCACCTGCATCTAAGAAGGGATGGAGGCTCTCCCTCGTTTTTATTTTGCTATTAATGTGTTTGTAGAAACATTTCTTGGTATCTTTTACCTCTGAAGGCAGATTAATTTCTAGCTGGACTTTGAAGCTTCCAATTTTCTCCCTGCATAGCCTCACAGCATCTTTGCAGTTGTCAGAGGCAGGAGAGATTCACAGGCGGTCTGAAATTGACTGTTTTCTATCCTTCACTGCTCCTTAGCTGCATGGGAATCTTTCTCCACTCCCTAAAGTGTTGATTTTCCCTTGCTGTCCTGATGACTTGGCAGATGGGTCCCTTGCCCCCTGTCATATCAGGTCACACAGTGTTTGCTAGACTTCTCTTCAAAAGGCTCCTGATAAAATAGCTGAAGGGCAACACTCAGGCACTTGTCCCTCCCGAGAGTGGCCACACAGGCTCTTCTGGTGTAGGTGGGCTTTTGTTTGAGTGGGATGGCCTGATGGGAATAAGCCTGCTGGACTTTGTCCCTCAGTTATCTCACAGGGCAGCTTGGTTCCCCTGGAATTTGTACCTTGTTGGTTTGGATTTGAGTCCTGGAGCACTGTCAGTTCCAGAATTAGTGTCAGAAAACATCGTTTGCTGATCATTGATTCGGTGAGAAGTAGATGAAAGGTTTGTTCTTGCAGCTTTTTTGGGCACTCTGCTTTCCTGCACATTTCGGGAGCATATACCCAAGTTGTGCCATGCTAGGGTTTGGTGTGAGTGCCACGTGGGTGAAGGTGACCCTGCCCTGTGACCAGTCTCCCTATCCCATACAGGTATCAGTGTCAGAGGAAGTGGCAGACTGCATAACACCACTGGTAAATTGTCTCCAAGATGGTTTTGCCTTTTGTTTTCCTTCCTGTTAAGGGAAGAATCTTCTGAGTTTTCCCACTCTTCAGGCTTCCTGTTAGAAGCAGCAAGTGCAAAGTGCAATGAAGCTGGTGAAGGTTCTAGAGAACAAGCTGTATGAGGAGAGGCTGAGGGAACTGGTTTTGTTTAGTCTGAAGAAAAAGAGGCTGAGGGGAGACCTCATTCGCCTCTACAACTGCCTGAAAGGATGTTGTAGGGAGGTGGGTGTTGGCCTCTTCTCCAAAATAAATAACTATAGGACCAGAAGAAATGGCCTAAAGTTGTGGCAGAGGTTTAGATTGGGTATTAGGAATAATTTCTATACTGAAAGAGTGGTCAGACACTGGAACAGCCTGCCCAGGAGGTAGTTGAGTCACCATCCTTGGAGGTATTCAAGAAACATGTAGATGTGGCACTTTAGGGCATGCTCTAGTGGCTGAGGTTGTGGGTTTTTTTGTGGGTGGTTGTGTTGTGTGGTGTTTGGTTTGGTTTGGGGTTTTTTTTGTTGATGAATGGACTCTGATCTCAAAGGTCCTTTCCAATCATGACTTTTCTGTGATTTCTGTATCCCTGTGTAATGGAGTTGCAGGAACAATGCCATTTCTTGATCCACTGGGACTTTACAGAAATATTGAACAGTTTGTGTTGCTCTTTTCACCCAGCTACCACTGGTTGTTAAGAGTCAATTATTTTTATATAATACCAGAAAGAAGACTTATGCTTGATGCTTGGAGGCAGGTTCTGACAATCCTGCTTAAAATAGCAACAGCAAAACAATAAGCCATGAAATAATGAATTTTT